ATACATACATACATACATACATACATACATACATACATACATACATATGAAAGAAATAAAGGAAGAAAGAATAAATAAATAGAATAAATCCAACAGAAGTGCTTTAAGGCTAGGGAGCAGTAGCGCAGACCTAAAGATTCAATATTGAAGAAGTGTAGGCAGAGGATTACAATTTGCATACCAGCCTGATCTACATAGAAAATTCCATCTAGCTGGGCAGTGGTGGCACATGCCTTTAATCCCAGTAATCAGGATGAAGACAGACAGATCTCCTGAGTTTGAGGCCAGCCTGATCTACAGAGTGAGTTCCAAGATGGCCAAAGCTATACAGAGAAACCCTGTCTCAGAAAAAAAAGAAAGGGAGGGAGGAAGAAAGAGAGAGAGAGAAGGAAGGAAAGGAAGGAAGGAAGAGAGGGAGGGAGGAAGGAAGGAAAAGAAAGAAAAAGACACCTCATCTATAGTCCTGCCAACTTGTGTAGCCAAGGCAAGAGACTCATTACAAATTGATGGCCAGCCTGAGCTACATAGTGAGTTCTGGGACAGCCTGGAATGAGACCCTGACTCAAAGCAATAAAAGAAAATGTAAAAGTACTTGAATAAAAATGTTGTCTATTTTTTGAGCAGACTCTTAGAAGGGATGATAATGTTAAGGAGCTGGACACCATCCACAGAGAAAATGATGTAAAGCCAGACCATGAAACTCCAGCAGCAGAAACTGTTCACCTAGAAGAAGCTGAACCCCAGAATGCAGCCATCGGCAGAAAGGTAGAAGCAGCAGACACAGCAGGCAGTGGGGCATGGGAAGATTAGACTGTGGGAACTAAGGTTTACTTGCCTTCAGAGACCTCGAAGTCTAAATGACAGAGTTCCTTTGGTTGATGTGCTCACCACATAAAAATATTTCCTAATAGCTGCATCTGCAATGTGTATTATCTCTTTGTATAAATGACTTTATGCATTTTTGCAGTAAATAATGTTAACTTTTTAATATGCTTAAATCTATACTTATCCACAAATATTTGTGATAGTGTATAATTTGGGGGCATAATCTTAATTAGTGTGATCATCTCAGCTTTACTAATATTAATATGCTAAGAATGCTTTGAAAAGCACTTTTTTTTAATTTTGTAGCTTAGAAGATCTGAAACTGTTTTTTATGAAATGCTTTTTACACCTGAGCCAAATGGAATGAATTCTGAGGGAGTGATGGATAAAGAAAGGCATAAAGAGCCGGTGCCTGAAGACGGTTCATGCAGGTAAGAGCTAAACAGCAAAGGGACCAGCTGCTCAGAAAGCTGTGAGGCTCTTTTTATGATTTATTTATTTTTATGTGTAGGAGTGTTTTGCCTGCATGTATATATGTAGTGTATATATGTGTGCACAATGCCGCCAAGGCTGGAACTGGATTTAACAAATAATTGTGAGCTGCCATATGGACAGAACCCACACTCTCCTCAAGAGCAGCCAGGGCTCTAAACTGCTGAGCCACCCTCCAGCCCAGCTGTGTCATTCTTTAAAACTAGTGAGTAAAGCTGGGTATGGGAGGACTCGGGAGGAGCGTAGGCAGAGCTCTCAGTGTGAGGCCAGAATGATCTAGAGAGTAAGTTCCAGGATAGCCAGGGCTACATAGAGAGACCAACAAACAAAGCAAGCTTTTGGATCAGGAATGGACTTTAAGAGTCTGGAGAAATGAGTAAACTGCTTGATCACAAATGCGAGCTCGTCTGCTCAGATCTCTGTATGGACGAGCAAACCTATACGGCAGCACTCACCTGTATCCTGACTCTGAGGAGCCTGTGCAGAGACAGGTAGATCCAGAAGCTCTCGCACAGCCAGTCCAGCCAACCCCAAGAAGAGACTCTGGCTCGGAAAATATCAGAGAGAGCAGCAGAAGACGACACTTAATACCTCTGGCCTCCACATGCTTGTACACACGCGTGTGCACCTCATATGCCACACATGCAGAGACAGCAGAATGCTATCCAACGATATAGTGAACAGACCTCTTTGAATCCAAGCAGACAGTCCCAACATGCATTAGAGGAGAGTCCGGAGAGCTTTCGAGTACTGACTCGGTATAATGGTATTCAAATACGAAAAACACATGCTCGGGGCTGGAGAGATGGCTCAGCAAGTCAAGAGCGCTGGGCTGCTCTTATGAAGGAGGACTCATTTTGGAGTCCCAAAATGCACATGCAGCTCACGGCTGTGTCTAACTCCACTTCAGAGGCTCTGATGCCCTCTTCTGGCCTCTGAGGGTAGTGTGCATGCATATGGCACACAGGCATACAGGTAGGCAAACAGCCGTGCACATAAAATGAAAATAAATTTTTAAAAAAGTATTGATGTAGGGAGTCAGAAATTCATGTAAGGTTTAGCTGACACACGAGTGGCAAAGTGGGGAATTGCTGACACTGGGTAGATGATTTGCTCCAGTCTTTTTTCTGTGTGTATTTTATAAGAAAGAAAATAACATTATTTATGAGAAAAATGTTAGCAGTTATTAAATATAGATGGTAGCATCTTTCCTGTGTGAGTGGGTGTGTTTGTTAAGAGAGGGCCCAATGTAGCCCAGGCTGGCCCCTCCCTTTCTATGAAGTCAGAATGACCCTTAACTTGTGATCATTCTACTCTGCCTTCCATGTACTGGGATTCCAAGTATGCACCACATACCCAGCTTTTATGTAGTATGAATTTCAATTAAAAAGTTAGGAGGTGGTGGTGCACACCTGTGCTCTCATTTGGGAACCTGAGTCAAGAAGTTTAAGAACAGCCTTGGCCATGTAGCCAGACCCCGTATCGGAAGAACAAAAGAGAAGCTAGATGGTGTCCTGCGAGTTGTAACATGCAGTCTATTCTCATTAGCCCTCAAGAAGAGGTGGCCATGACGAACCACCAGGCGGAAGGCCCTCCTGAAGAAGCAGAGAGTCTTCATGAAGAGGAGGAAACTCTTGCTTCTTATGAGCCAGCTCCTGAGATTCCTACAGAGAACCAAACCACAGGTTAGATGCATACTTCTTACTTTCCTGAGTGGGTGCTTCTCAGCTCGTGATTTTACTTCAGCACCTTAACTCCTAGTGTTCAGCTTTCCTTTGTACATGAACCTCCAGGTGTCATCAGACTGGACAGGAAGCAACTCTCCCTGCTCTGTCACTCTTCCTTGAGGCTCAGAGAATTATCTTTCATTGTACTTTTCGACCATGACATGGTAAACTGTTTCCAGAAAGATCCTAGAAGAGCCAGGAATGGTGACTGTCTCCTGCAGTCCCTGTACTAAGGAGACTGAAGGCAGTTCAAGGCCAGACTATGCTAACATAGCATGACTTGTCTCAGAAATTGTTAGCTCTGGAGAGATGGCTCAATGCTTAAGACTACATGCTGCTTTTACAAAGTTTGGCACCACATCTAATGCCTTCAACACCTGGCATGTACACCCACCTCTACACAGACATGTTGGCAGTGTTTTTTGTTTTTTGTTTTGTTTTGTTTTAATCTATTTTATTTGGGTTCTTATAATCTTCCACCCTTCTCCACCATAATCCCTTCCAACACCCTAATACCAGGTAGAAGAGACAGAAGGTTTATGGGGAGAGGAGTGGTTGAGATCTTTTTAGACTACTTCCTGCTGTAGGAACAGAGAGTCTTGGACCCTCTTGGAGCTCTCCAATTTATACCCTTTCTGGTGTCCCCAGAATTAAACTAGCTGCAGCTGGCAAAGATCACACCCAAAGCAAATCATAATCAAGAAGACTTTTATCCCACCTCTGGGATTAAAACGAAAACAGATTTGCATAACATAGCTAGGTTTTTTAAGAAACCAAAACACTCATTACGCAGACATACATGTTTTGTTGTTGTTGTTGTTGTTGTTGTTGTTGTTGTTGAGGCAGAGTTTCTCTGTGTAGCCCTGGCTGTCTTCAAACTCGATTTGTAGACCTGGCTGGCCTCAGACTTACAGAGGTCCTCCCGCCTCTGCCTCCCAAGTGCTGGGATTAAAGCACTTAATCCCAGGATATGCACCACCACATCCTGCTACATAATTTAAAACAAAACATTTTTAAATGATGATTCCTTCCTATATGGAAATCTTACCGATCACAGGCCAGGATCCTCAGAAATCACACCGGATAGGTTGGGAGCTGTGCAGTTGAAATCTACAGACACAAGATGATTTGTTTGCAGTGGTCTAGTTTGCCCCAGTGCACACTGGGGTTTCTGTGTGATAGTATCACGCTGTCCATAGCACTTTAGAGAGCAGATGTTGTGCTGTTCTCTATCACACATGCTCCATCTCTATGGGGTGCTTCCGTGTGAATGTGGGCTGGAAGCGCGGCCTTCACATACAGCTTCTGCACTCCTGCCTCTGCCTTGAGGGCTGGGACTAAAAGCCACCACGCCCTACCTCTTGGTTGTTTCTCTCTTGTACTCTGCAAGGGGAAATACATTCCCAGTCCTCTAACTTCACTCTCACGCCAGCCTAAAACCAGAGTAGCAACAGTGAAATCAGTTACTGCAGCCAGCCTTAGGATGTGTCTGTCAGCCATGTGCCTTGTCATCCTAGGTTCTGGGTTAGAGTGCTGCCGTGTTGAGCCTACAGCACTGACACCTCTTAGTACTTAGCTGCATGAACTAGAAAAGACAAAACAGTACCTTGTGACAGACACCTGGGAACTGACCTCAAAGCAAGAGAGAACAGGCTGAGTCCATGGGGAAAGTCATCCCTGGAAGCACTGCTTTAACTGTTCAGTCTTTCTTCCTTTCTTCCCTCCTTTCTTCCTTCCTTCCTTTCTTTCTTTCTTTCTTTCTTTCTTTCTTTCTTTCCTTCCTTCCTTCCTTCCTTTCCTTCCTTCCCTTTCTTTCATGTCTGTCTTTCTTTCTTTCTTTCTTTCTTTCTTTCTTTCTTTCTTGTCTTTCTTTCTCTTTCTTTCTTTCTTTCTTTCTTTTTCTTTTCCTCTTTTTGGTTCATCAGGGTTTCTCTGTAGCCCTGACTATCTTAAAACTTGCTTTGTAGAACATGCTGGCCTCAAACTCAGAGATCCTATTGCCGCTGCCTCCCAAGTGCTGGGATTAGAGGCCTGTACCACCACTGCCTGGCATTAGTTAGATTTCTAAGATGTCTTCTGACCTCCACAAGCATGCACACACTCATGCCCACACAAACACAGAATAAATATTCAGTATCTTTGTTCACAACATTTATGTATACGTGTTTCTGTGTGTATATACTCATCTTCTGTTTTCTTGGTGTGTTTTAGTGAAAAGTCTGTTTCCGTCTCCTGAATCCTCCGCATCAGCAGACCCGCCCACCCTGCCACAGCTCACAGAGGGACCGCATTTCATGTGTGTGTAGTCTCAGAAGTATGTCTTCTCCTTCTCATTGGTACCTTATGTTAGGAGTGTGTTACTTGGATGTATTCATTTGTTGGACAAGCGATACAAGTGAGTTAACCCTGGCCAGTGCCAGAGCAGTGGGCCGCGCCCTGAAGCCCAGGCAGTAGCTCAGGTTCCTCACACTGGCCTTGTAGGGAGTCGGGCTTCGGCTGTGTGTTGTCTCAGTCTCTCATAGCATCATCCATAAAAGCAGCGCAGTCTGTGGTGAGCGGCCTGTGCCGGACCCCTCGCAGCCTTGCAGCTTGACGTCCTGCCACGCTCAGGGCCAAGGAGGCAGGTGCTACCCTTTCATGCTCACAGGAAAGTCTTGGGCACTGAGCTGGGCATCTCTGCCTGGGGAAGTAAGGTTTGTATGAGTTGGTTCTCTTTTAAAGGATGAAGCGATATTTATGATGCAGTCAGTGGCGGAGCACTGAAGTCCCACGGCTGGAGCCATGATGTGGTGGAGGCCAGTCTTACCAGGCTCCTTGGACTGCAGTTTTAGAACTGAGGATAGTGTTCCGAGTCACTGCTTCTTTTGGACCTTTCATTACTATTGTGTATGTGTGCAGGCAGGGGCGTGCCACAGGTGTGTGAAGGCCAGAGGGCAACTTTGGAGTCGGTTCTGTCCCGCCACCATAAACATTCTAGGGTTTGAACTTGGGTTATCAATGAGGTGGTAGGCTCTCCTAAACTATCCCGCCAGCTCCAGACCTCTACTTCCAACAGCATATGCAGTGTGCACACTGCTTACTCTACCTGTACATGTGCGCTTACAGATAGTTTTCTTTTCATGAAAAGCAGAAGTAGAGTGAGAATTTATATGCCTTTCCTATACGTTTTCTCAGTATCTACCACCTCTTAGGAATTTTTGAATTACCATAAATTCCTGGGCCGCCATAATCAGTAACACTTACCACGAAGACTCAGAAAATCTTGGGCATTCTTGCAGCAGGGCTTGTATTCTGGGGTCTGTCTTCATCCTCGCTTTTGTAGTAGGTCTTCTCTTTGTCCAGAAGCTCCTGTACATGGTTGAGGTATTTGCTAGAGTTAGTAATAACCGATTATTACAGCTGTGTGTGTATATAAGTGACACTGGTGACAGAATAACACTAGACAAGGGAAAACAAACACGCCATGTGGCGTAATGGATGGCACCTCCTAACGTTGGATAGAGATGGACACTGAGGACTGTTCACAGGCCAGCTATGGTGGCACACTCTTTTAATCCAAGCACCGAACAGGCAGACACTGGTGTATTTCTGGGAGTTTGACGCCGGCCTGGTGTTTAAACAGTGAGTTCCAGGAGCCAAAGCAAGACCCTGTCTCAAAAAGCTGTCTACAGGAGCTGGGCATGTAGGGCCCACACCTGCGACTCGTGAAGGTCTAGATTCAGTTCCTAGCAGCACAAAGAACCAGGCATGATGGTGCGCACTAGTAATCACAGCACTTGGGAGGCAGTGGCAGGACAACTAAAAATTCAAGGTCATCTTTGGTTAAACAGTGAAATCCAGGCCAACCTGAGCTTCATGTAGTCCTGGCTGTCCTGAAACTCTCTCTCTCTCTCTGTAGACCAGCCTGGCCTCAAACTCACAGAGATCTGCTTGCTTCTGCCTCCCTAGTGCTGGGATTAGAGGTGTGTGCCAGTACTGTCTTTTACCTTGTATTCCAGCTCTAATGGCAATGGGCATTACAGCCAGGCACAGACATCACCAGAGACACTCCCTTCTCCTGTTTTGACCACCACACACAGTTGTCCTGTGGTACTGACACTGTTACTACTTAGATCTTACCATTGTATATGTCACGTTTTCTGAACGTGTGGTTTTGGCAGGATGTCGGGATCCTCACAGATGTGCTGCTGTCAACATGGCTCAGGCAGTTAATGTGTGTTATAGTGAGACCAGGCAAAGCTAGCCTGCATTACTGGTGTGAGGCATTTTTCTGAATTGCTGTTCAACTGCATCACACACTTTTACAGCCTCAGTTGCACTTAAAGAAGTTAAGAAAGTACCCTTCCATGTGTTCATGTTAGGGTTCTCCAGCCACGTTTGGCCTATTCTGCCTTAGTTACTTTGGGACATAGCCACTCATTAGCTTTGCAGATGTCAAAAGTAATTTCCCTCTCTTGTTTTTCAGCTGCACTGATGTCTGTTGAGAGCACACAGAGCTGAAGCTGTGGACCCTCAGCAATGTAAGAAGATGTACAGTATACCTTAAATCTATGAAATTCATAGTTCTGATGCTTCTGACCACAGGGCATCGTTTTATCACCTTTGGAAAATGTTTATTCCAAAATAGCTTTAATGGCCCATCTGTGCACTCCGTAGTCTGAAGGTCACCATTCTCCACGCTTGCTGCTATGAGTTCAGAGCACATCAGTCAAGGTGCTTTCTCCGTACGCTCCATCCAGAGCTTGCTTAGTTGCAGTTCCCAGAATTGGATGCTTAATTCTAGGTGGATTTACGTTTCTTTTGCTTTTCAGTAAAGCTCTACTTCCCTGTGAAGCTTGTTTTCTTTCCTTTTTTTTTTTTTTTTTTTTTTTTTTTTTTTTTTTTTTTTTTTTTTTTGGCCCATTTTGGCTACTGCAGTGCTTTGTTTGACACTTGATTTGTAAAAATTTTATATAAATATATTTAAGATGTGCCATTTTATTACTGCTAAGTGAAGTATGTCCTGTTTTCTGCTATAATTCATCCTCGGTCAGATCGCACCATCAGCAGTTACTGCCACACTCCGTCTGCTTCAACACAAATGCTATTGCTTAGCTTTTCCTTAAAAAGCCAAACAATTACAAGCATAGGTATTTTGAAATACTGGACATTGACGTCATTGGAATAGATGTGTACAGCAATAGCAGGCTTTTAGATCCAGTACTTGGTTTGTGTACAGATGTAAGTATGTTCATTGTGTAGATATTATACAATGAGCACATGGAATAAAGGCTGCTTACTATAGTTTAATGCAAATGTTCATATCCCATTTCTTTTATATCATGTTAAATAAATGTTGATGTTCTTAAATCACTTGTGTTAGAATATTTTCCTCTCTTTCTGTCTCTCTTTCTCTAGGATTTCACTGTGTAACTCTGGCTGACCTGGAACTTGCTATATAGACCAGGCTTTGAAAGACTGCCTGGCTCTGCTCTCCAAGTATCAGAAGTAGAGGCATGTGGCTAGAATCTTTTCTTCTCATCTAAATGGAGAATATGAGACCTGGAGTGTAGCCCAGAAGTAGACATTTTCCCAGCATGTCTGAGGCCCTATGTTCAATTCCCAACACCAAAAAAAGAAAAGGGAGAAGGAAAAAAAAAAAAAAATCAGACCCAAATGACTTCTCAAAGAAAAAGTAGTGTGTTAATTCTGCCTCCCTGGGCAACATGATTTAAAAGGCCTGTGTGTCCAGCCCTCCCATGACAGAGTAGAGGAGCCTGAAGCCAGATAGAAAAATGGTGCTGACCACAGTCATACCACTTCATGACACAGTGTAGATCACCATGTCATTGTTCTGACTTCTCATAAATCAGCCCATCAACCAACAACCAATGGACAGTTAGTTTCCACATCTGCAAGCTTGTAGTCCCAGTGTGCTTAGAGAGTGAGCATGGGGGAGGGGCAGACGGGGCTGTCTCTGCCATGGGGAACTGGACAGTTTCTCATGAGCGGGCCCCTCCAAGATGGCTTCTTTAGGGCACATTCTTTGCAGATGTTCACGCTCTTCAGAATCAATTACGTTTCTTTCCTCTCTAACCTTTTGTTCATGCTATAGATTGTTCCCAGAGGACAAGGAAATTTGAGGCCTTGTGGATTCCCATGGAGAATAGCTCCAACCAACTTGGCACCGGTCAGATCTGTCCCCCACCTCGTGATCCAGTAAAGAGGATTTAGACTTAATACAAAATGCAGGTGTATAGAAATGTGCATGCTGCAAAGGGAAACAAAAATGTGCTTGGCTAGAGTCTATGTGGATCAGTGAAAGCAGGTCAGAACAGTATGGCAAGGTCCATATCTGTGAACACGGTCCCTTAATCCATCGGTGTCAAACAAAAGCCTCGGACTCTGACCCCTTAATCATAACATGATACAAAATGACTTTGTCATGATGAGAGATGGTTTTTGTTGTTCCCAGAGGATTCTTTGAGCTTCTTTAAAGATTTGAGATTGGGGGGAGGGTCTCTTCTTTTTTTTAAACATTTGCTTATTATCTTTTAAGTGTGTTTGTGTGTATTTCTGCGTATGAGTTCTGGATCCCACTGAGGCTAGAGGCATCAGATCCTCCCCTCTGCCGCACCCACCCCCACCCCCGGGGTTGGAGTTACAGGCAGCTATGAGCTACTGTTTTGTTTTGTTTCTTTTTGTTTTGTTTCATTCTTCTTCTTTAGCTGTGAGCTACTGTTAATCCCACCAGACAAAAATAAGACCACTACTACAATTTCAAACCAAGTTTGAAGCAAGTTTTAATTAAACATTGTCCAAGATGAGGGACTCTGGCCAGATCCATTCTGGGGTTTCCAGAAAATGGCCACAAGCCACATTAGCCAGGCGCTTATAAAGATTAACTCACAAAATAATGTACTTCCTGCCTTTGTCCAATGGGGGAATGGGGAAGCCAGCATGCATCCTGACAAACTTCCTGCCTGTTGACCTCCAGCCCACATGTGATCAAGCACATCTGATGAGTTGGGTCAGCCAAACTTGTTTAGAGATGTGAAAATATGTGGCTTATTATCTTATATGAGCAAAGGCTTCTACCATCTCACAAAGCATCTGTCCTTGGGTGAGGGGCTTACAGGGCAGGGTTAGAGGCATTTTTATTTAATGGATTTCTGACCCTCCACCCTTCACCGTCAACTCCCAAGCCCTGGGATTGTAGGCCCACACCACCATGCCCCATGTTGTGTAGTCCCGGAGATCAAACCCAGTGCTTCCTGGATGCTCCGCTGTCCACCCTCCCTAAATTCAGTCAATAAACAAAGAAACTTTTTGGTTACGCTTAAGTGCTCTGAATAATTTTTCCAAAATTTCCTTGAATCCATTATGCACTGGTTAAACATTAATCTGTAGTAAAGTATGTGGGTTTGTTTTTTTTTTTTAAGATTGATTGATTGATTGATTGATTGATTATGCAGTGTTCTGCCTGCTTGTATGCCTGCAGGCCAGAAGAGGGCATCTCATTATAGATGGTTATAAGCCACCATGTGGTTGCTGGGAATTGAATTCAGGACCTTTGGAAGAACAGCCAGTGCTCTTAACACTCTGAGCCATCTCTCCAGCCCATGGTTTGGATTTTTAAAGGAGACACTAGTTTTTTTTTATTTTGTCAGTTCTGAAGTTTTAATTGTAATCTATATTGAAAAGTCAACCTGAAACTTGAAAAGGCTAAGAGTAGTACCGCTGGCAGAATTAAACCATGCTGTTCAAGCCTGTGGCAGCTCTCTTAAGCATAGGCTAGACAGGGCCAATGTCCCCTGGTGCACCACTCAAGCATTCCATGGTCTATGGCGGTACAATCCCAGTCTCAGCTCCTTCCTAAGGAGCTTCATCTAACAAGCTTTTTAACATATCCCTTAAGCACACATGCTAAAAAGTTGTTAACACAGGTTTGGTCTGACCTTAGGTGGGACCATGTTTTGTTTTTTTGTTATTGTTTGGTTTTGGTTTTGGTTTTCCCCCAGGTGAAAGATAGGATGCTTCCTTTTACAGGGGCAGAAATGACTAATGTAATCTGCAAGGGAAGCTGAGGGATGTAGTCTTTATGCAGGAAACTGTCTTTCCTAACTCAGAGAATTGTCAGGGTGTTAGAGCTGTTTCCTACCAAGGAGGGCCTTTGTTGGAGGGGTCATTCTAGGTCCATTGAAGGGGAGGGGGTCCTCTAGTTAGGTAGCAGAGGGGGAGAGTCTTAACTTGATCAGCTGCAATGGATCATGTGATTGCCACCTGTATTCATAAAGAAACTCAGGAAATAAGTATTGAGGGTTGTAAGCAGATGATCTGGTTACAGAGTAGAGCTGAGAGTTCCAGAACAGAGGGGAGAGAAATGGAGTGAGCTGGTGAGAGGAAATGGGCGTAGAGTTGATTCAAGGGGCAATGACCAGTGCTGAATAGCCATTCCAGACTGCTACACTGAAATGAGCCAACACAAGTGGCAGGGAGTGACGAAGCATCAAAGAAAGGGAACAGGAGAAAATAGAGGACTAATGTAAAGAATTGTATCTGGCCTAGGGTGAAAGGAATAAAGGCCCCCTTTTTGTCAGTTTCTCCACAGCATTGAAAAGACTGCAGAATGCTTTAGGGTTATGGCTGGGACAAGACACTGTGACCACAGCAACTCTTATTAAGGGAAACATTTAATTGGGGCTGGCTTACAGTTTCAGAAGTTTAGTCTATTATCGTCATGGCAGGAAGCATGGTGGCACTCAGGTAGACGTGATGCTAGAGAGGCAGCTGAGAGTTCTACATCTGGATCATCAGGAAGAGGCACTGGGCCTGGCTTGAGTTTCTGAAATCTCAAAGCCCACCCTCTTAATACACCTGCTCCAACAAGGCCACATCTCCTAATAGTGCCACTCCCTGTGGGCCTAAGGAGGCCATTTTCATTCACACTACCACACAGATGTATCAGGAACAAGCGGAGCTCTGATAGGGTGAGTTACTGGGAGAGTTTGTGTGGAACATTTTGTTTGGGTATAGGGTTATACATAAAACATTTAGAAAACAAGTAAAAAGCATAGGTATGAGGATAATGAAGAAAGAGTGCTCAAGAGGAAGCACCAGAGTGGGAGGGAACTTAGATGGAATTGTCTGGTCCCTGTGTTTTTAGGCCACATTTCAAACCAGTTAGGACTTGTTCGTGTGGAAGAAGCATCGTTATCTGCAGAGAGTTCAAATCTCATCCTTATAGCAGTCAGAGGTAGTCATTTTCAGTCTTGGAGCACTGCAGCAACCAAGGAGTCCAGCTGCAGAGGCAAACAGTTCCCGGTGAGGAGTGAGGATTGAAATAATTAAAGCAAATCACACTGCACACAGGATTAGCTCGAGAGGGCTGTCAGTAAGACTGCAGCGTGCATTTATACCACAATTCCTTTTTATAGGCAAAGCAAAAACAAGTCACATCAATACAAGAAAGAAGTTCATGAAACTGCCAAACTTGTGTTCTTAAACTATTTCCCATTATTGGATATGGTTCAAGGTCACACAAACAAGTTTTAAGGAACTTGGTGAAATATCCTCTTATCTCTGTTTTAAGGTGAGGGCCAGGGTGAAAACAGGCTTTTTACTGAATACTCAATAACAAACAAGCAGCTCTCCACATGTGAAGGATGTTAAGCTGATCTGAGCTGATGAGACAGACAGATTAATGGATGCAAAGTAGGCTCCAGTCCAGCCGTTATAGTTCTGAATCCCAAAAACCATGTCCAGAGTGGGAAGAGGGATGAGTTGGGTGGCCCTTGCCCATTAATCCCCTTTCAGAGGTCACCTGACCACTTTTAGGAATCTGGAGGTGTCAATTTCTTAGTAACTGCTTCAAGGCTCACAT